AAATGAAAGTATGTACAATGGTTTATGCGAATGTCCAATCTTCAAGTAAGTTAGTTACTTTAACGAAACGGGTATAGGAATATGCCATTGTTCAAGTTTCTGCAACACCATACTATAAATGCGCATGGCGTGAGGTGAGATCATCTCCTTGATTGAGATCAGTAAATCTATAAGGAACCCAGTTTCCGGGAAATGATTGGTGGTTTCGTTTGTAACGTTCAGGGGTTTCGTTATAACTATTGGGGGTGTTTCGATACTCTGAAAATTACATTTTTTTATCATTAGTGAGTGATATGGAGGATTAAATGACTACGAAAAAAGTCAAATGTCCAAACCTCTGGATCAGGCATTCTCGTAGAAACATGAGAACCCACGACTTTCAAATCATCGATTCTCTGCTGATACATTTGCCTGAAACGTTCGATAGCTTGTAGACTCTCGGAGAATCGATTAAATGTATTAAACAGTGCAACAATTTCTGTACGCGTTAATAAATTAGGATGTACTTTTGGGCTATAAAAAGAGAACGTCAATAGTCTATTTTAAATAATACACAAGATGGGCATGTTATGCAAATGTGAAAGACTCACTTGAAATATTCGTCGTCATATGAAAAAAGCACTTTTAAAGCCGTTCCGAGGCCAGATGTCTGTAACTTTCCCCATAAGCGACACTTTTCACATCCAACACAATCCATAATTCGAGAGACATTTCTGAAATGTGCTTTAAATTCTTCTTTTAATAGCTGTTTGTAGAAAGACGTGTTAACCAAATAAAAAGAAATCATAAGAACATCACGTTCAAAACACGTACCCTTGATTGGGGAGAGGAAAACATTTGTCTTTCGTCGAACGTTCCAGGACATGATTCTGCTGTATTTACAAGTCTACCGACCATTTCTTTTACCTCTGCATCCTGAATTTCGTCACCCGTGCAGAATTTATAACCCCGAAGATATTCCGACATCTTTGAAATCGACCTTAATAAAACGACATAAGTGAAATACGCATTCTGGATACGTTCGGGATGAGATCCAAACCGTGAAATGAAGCAATCAAGATTAGGTCCCTAATTGTTGATATTAATAGAAAGATGCAAATAAAAAAAGTGCCCAATGCTGAGATTCGCAATAGAAAATATAATAAAGTTGCATACCCATTGACCAGTGGTTTGATTTAAATATTCATCACATATGTGAATAGATATGGATGAATGAAGACCTTCATGAAATATGAAAGTGTTAGAATTATCGGTAAAATATGATATCAATGATAACAAACTTACCTGATATTAATTTGTAATAAACTCGTTTTTCAAAGCAAGCTTCACCGCCAGTCGCTTCAGGCTTTTCACTAATACTTTGGAATAGTCCAGTAAACTTATTCTTGCTTGGTTGATCAGAATCTCTACTATGATAGTTAAAACAATTCTCTTCGTAGATAGCCTTCCATACACGACCAGCCGAAGCACCAGCATATCCAGTAAACCTTTCAGGATTATCGTGAAGGTTGACATAGACGCCCTCTACATAAGTAACGAGCGGCGAAGAATGTTTAATACATGTACAAATAAAGTATCCAATAATGCGATTGAAAACCCACCAACGTCAGCTTCATCTTCAACAACGCAAAAGTCTTGGTCGCTATATTCACATTTTTTATAAGGATGAAAATTCTATGAACGTTGTCAATTTAATCAATCAGTTAATCAGACAAGTAAAATGATCAGTTGTCAGGCAAATAGATATATATATATATATACCAATCCAGCAGGTGAAGTTTCCAATGCACCAAGAACGTTGCTGCGCCACGACTCTGGAAGATGAGACTGCATAAATGCGAGTCGAAAATCCTATATTAATGATTGATGTTTTGATGACATTTGTAATATACACCTCTTTTTTTTTTACTCGCCTCATCAGTTGTCTCTACTGCGCATGCCCGATTAATACATTGACCATTTTCTGTCCAAAAGGGACATTCTTTATAAAGGTTTAGCTATTAAAAAAAAAGATCGAGTCAGCAAATTGAGAGATATTAGCACGAATAATATCTTGAATTATGTGATTCACCTTATAGTATTTGAAGAAATCGGTTTTAACTAATTCGTGTATTTGTTGTGCAATGTCATTGTTCACTCTTTCTACAGTCTTATAATCGCA